TTCGTGGTCTTAATTTACATGACAAGTATCAATTTCTGGATTTACATGATATTTTAAATGGTAAAATGAAAGATTTACAGGAAAGAAGATTTGGTGAAAAGGAAGGATCTATGGCTTTAACAGCACAGCAAGTTAAAGAGATTCTTAGTGATGAGTTTTTAGATCCTAAAACACCACAAGGCTTATTGTATAGATTTTTTTTTCATAATGCAATAATTTTTGCATGTCGAGATGGTGAACACTATTCACTTCAAAGTAATCAATTTCAAATTCAACCTAACGGAAGTATTTTATTTTACCGATATCGTAATAAAAATAATCAACGAGGAATTCAAGGTGGAAATGCACACTGTATTCAGTTACCATCTGATTTATCAGATATTCCTGGACCTGTTAGCAATTTTACCAAATATATTTCCAAACATCCACTAGGTGCTTCTGATAATTTCTATTTGCAACCAAACCCAAATTGGCATGATACTAATATTTGGTATCTTAAAACTCATTGTGGTTTGAATCGAGTTGGAAATTTTATGAGAGATATAGGGCAAAAAGTTAAAGTAAAACTTCCGGATGGTATCTTAACAAACCATTCATGAAGAAAAACTGCAGCCCAAATACTTCAGAATGCTGATATACCAGAGGATGCCATTATGAATATTACAGGACACAGAAGTTCACAAGAATTACATGCATATAAAACTGTTAATGAAAGTCAAAAAGTTAATACAATGAAAACTTTAATCAATACTATAAAACTGGCATCAAATACAAATATAATAAGCCAAGAATCACCTACAGTACTTACCAAAATTACTGGATCTCAGATTAATTTCAATACAAATACAGTTACTATGCAAGATATTAATATAGTTCAAGGGCAAATTCATAGTGAATTTCAAAATCAACGTTCTATTTTTAATAATTGCCATTTTACGAATATTATATTTTATATGTCACAATAATTTTTTTATAAGAAATTAAACTAGCTATAAGAAGTTGTAAAAAGTTAAGGCCAACGATTCTTTACAAGCAAATATGTATTAAAGTATTTTTTCTTTATGCAATTATTAGCAATTAAATAAACATTTGCATTACAATTATAAAAGTAAATTTTAATACATGTAAATTACTGACCCAATCCAAAAAATGTGGGGCCATGGAATAATTTTTGATATTTTTACAGCTGATCAGCTGTGTGAAAATATCAGTGTGGAGTATCACGGGCGACCATTAGGAGACATAGGATAAAAATAAATTAAAATTAATTACAAAATTTCTGAAAACCAGTTATTTTTTCTTCTTTGATATGGTAGCATCCAATAAAGTTCAATTTCAGATAATATCTAATAATAAAATATAATAAGTAATTTATACTATTTCTAAATAATTATTATTAAATAAATTTTTTACCTCTACTCTTAAATACAAAAAAGATTCTTCATTATTTTTCTTATCAATAGCAATTCCAAGTAATGAAATAAACAAATTCAATAAATAAATAGTTGTAAAAAATGAAAATACAGCTAACAGAAATGCTAATGTCCAATTATTTTTCAAAACCCATAAAGTAACAGAACTTGAATCGCCTAAAAATCAATATATATATATTTAATATTTTCTAAATTTTTGTTTAATAAAAATTATTGTTATCGATGAAGCTAGAAATAACTAAAATTAAAATTTTAAATTTTAATATAAAAATTTTAATAGTTTTGAGTATATATTTCAGTCTCTTTTTATAATTAGATTAGAACTTAAAGTTAATTTTAATAATATAAGAGTATATAAATAGACTAAGTGCTGTAAAATGGTCGAAATAACAATTTTTAAAAAGTTTTTTTACATATATAAATTTAAAATAAAATTGGAATCATTTTTCACTTACGATACAAAAGTAGTTGTATTAATAAAATTTTGCAGTATAGCTCTTTAACGTTGCATTTTCGTATGATTATTATAAGATTTATAATATAAAAATGATTTCAAAGATCTTTTTGTTATTTTCGGCCCTTTCAAGCACCTAGCCCAAATTATAAGAAAATAAAATCTAAAAATATATTGTTTGAATATTTACTTTTAATAAAATATCTTAAAATCAAGGTATTTAATATTTAAGATTTTAGTATTATTTGAATTATTTTAATATTTAAGATTTTAGTATTATTTGAATTATTTTAATAAGAGATTCAAATAATATTAGAACCTTAAGTATTTAATTATTGAATTTTAAAATATTTTATTAAAAGCAAATATTTAAAAGTATAATTTATAGGTTTTCTTTTTTTGTCAATTATGTAGATTTTAATAGAATCTAAATTTTAGATCAAGGGCTTTGAGTTTTAGCTTTAGCTATACAGTATTCAACTTCAGCTATAATAATGTTTGTCACAGTTGATATTGAAATTTGCTAAGACTGTGATTTGGAATCTCAATTTGGGTTTATTAAATCTATTAAAATCCACATATACTCTTTTATTAGCAATTCTAGCAATAAATCCTAATCTAGCTCTAAAAAATCAAAAAAATATATTTTAAAATGCATAGAATTAATTCTTTATATTAGCTTCAGCTATGATTATTATTATACAATATAATACCTGTTAGCATAAAATATACGGCCAAAACAGAAGTGCCAAACATTGTAAACCAATTCATATTATCATCTGGAGTTTCAATAAGAGTTGATTCTCCAACAGTACCATTAGATGAAATGAATTGATATGTTGGAACAAGGTTCCAAGGATTATTAGCATCATCAAAAAAACTTGGTTGATTATAAGAATATTCACTAGTACGCCTTAATAAAAGATGTAAAGAATGAGCAAAAGCCAAAACTAAAATTCCTAGAACAACAAGAAAAGAAAAGACTTTTTGTGCTACTCCAATCATAATTGCAAAATAAGTTCCAAAAGAATCTAAGGCACGGAAAAATAATAAAAATTTGATTTCAAGTAAAAAGGCAGCGATAATTATAATCGAAACTGAAGGGGTTTCATCATATAACCATATTAATGAAGTTATTGTTGGAACTAATATAGCAGCAAGATCTATAATCAAAATTACAATAAAATTAAATTATAAAATAAATATATTAGTAATGTATATTTTAATTAATTAAATATATATACCAAACCAATTCCAAGGACTAGCAATATATGCTCTTGGTCTATGAATAAATTGACGGACTTCAAAAATAAAATGAACAAATCCAAAAAAAATAATTGCGATTAAAAGAATTACTTGATTATTCCGAGAAATTTTATGATTTGGAATTGTTGAAACAATTAAAAAACAGCACATAAAAATTGAATATATTGCCCATATTATAAAATAATAAAGTTTTCCATAAGTGCTCCACTTAAAGTTGATAAGTGCTTTAATATGCCACCATTTATAATAGTCAGGCGTATCCAATAGTAAGGTAAAAGGGTTATCTTGTAAATAAAATAGTTCGCTATAAGAATATTTTTTGGAATATGTAGCAAAATTTAATAATGGAAATATTAAAGTTACAGTTTCTTGAGGATAGCCAGTAATATAAGATGAATAAAGCAAATAAGGAAATGCTATAATTTTATAAACTTGTGGATAAGACTCTTTAAGAAGATTACATTTTTTAGAAATCCAGAAAAATAAGCGATTAAAAGATGAAGTAGTATATAAATTAATATAGTTTCCACAATGTTGAAGATTAAACAATAGAGAATCATCTTTTCTGTGAAAATTAGTACGATCGGTCTGATAAATCAACATATTATTCTTGGATAAAAATTTTTCTATAAATCTTTTATTTTTATTAGAATTTTCTAACTTTATTAATGTAGAAGCAATTTGACTTGTTATAAATATAAAACTATTAATATCATGGTTCTTAAG